AATCAAAAGCTGGACCTGTAAGTGCAAAATCAATGAAAAGTTGATTACAGCCATTTAAATCTTTCCAGTGTGCTGCAGCTTTTGTTTGAAAAGCAACAGCAAAAAACGTCTCCAAAATTATGTTTGGAGAAGGCTTGCATGCATTGTTGGAATTGATGGTGAGCTCGAAAGCAAATCTATTGATCTTCCAGTCTTTCTTTTCCATTACAGTTATCTAATTAGCACTTGTACTATTATGAAAAGGCAATACCATGTATTTTTTCCCTGTTCTCTTGTCAAAAAACTGTTGCCATGGACCACTAAGCAGATGAAATTGTAGCCCTGGCTTGCTTTTAATTTGTCAAAAACCGAGCAACCAATGAAGATTTGTGAAATGTACTTGTCTTGCAACAGTAAACTGTAACATTTACAACCTCGGCTTCTAGCTCAACTTCAGATATCAGCATTCCGCTTGAGGCCAGAGAGATCAGTGAACTGAAAATAAAAAGCACAAACTTGGGTTGCAAAACAAAATGAATGGCCTCATTTTCTACTTTCTATGTTTTTTTCACAACATTTGTAAACCTAAAGGGGCATAAGAGATATTTTTACTCTCCCCCTCAACACAAATAAATCTGAAGGGAACCATATGTTACTTAATGCCCCTTAAAATGACCAGCAACAGCAAGGATGTTGCTTCAGCAGCGCACACGTGTAGTAGCAAGAGTTGACTAAAAGATAACTTTGACCAAACATTCACCTGCTTCCAAGTTTTTCATCATAATAAATTGAAATGGCTGTGATCAGCATCAGCCAGCATGTGTTGCAACAAATGAAGAATCTTCTTGTGTGAAATCACATTCAGCCAGTTTAATGATTAGAAGAAAGGAACATATCAGAACAAGACAGCAGGACAAATGAAGGAAATCATTTCCCCTTTAATGTAAGTAAGTTCACTAGGAGCTAGTGTACTATGTTAGGCCTTATAGATGGAAATTCGAAATTCCCTAATACCACCTTACAGACAATAATAAAAGGTTTAGTCCACAATACAGTATACTGCCACATAGAAGTCAGAAAATCCAGTGATATTCTGAAAAACACACACGCTCACACACACACACACACACACACACACACACACACACACACACACACACACACACACAAATCAATCAAAGAAATCTCTGTGGTACCATGAGAGGTTTCAAATACTCCCAGCCTCCATTCTGTTGAAGAAGAAATCACCAGTCGTAGACCTCTCAATGTCTGCTTCATCGTCTTTGAGGATCCCACTTCGGGGGATTATGCTCAGCATTTATTAGATGGGTTTCCTTTTTTGCCTGCAGGCAGATACAATGGAACAAACATCTCATTCATCTAAACCTACTGGATATATATCAAAAAAGTACATGACAAATAAGCCTGTCAAAAGCCCTTTCTAATCTTTGTAGCTCAAAAGATACAGTTGCCTTTGACAGTTCTTATTGAGACATAATGAATTACATGTCAGCGTTTTATAAAACACGACTCAGATGGAGTGATGTGTGTGTTTGTCTGCTAGAATGATGTCCGTCTCACTTTTTCTTTGTGTGGCATAATCTGTAATGACCTAGAATAACATTTTCAACATAGTGGTTTAACTTATCACATTACTCCTGAAATGCACACTTGAATGGATTGTAGTTTACTTAAACGTACAGTTAGTCACTTCTTAAGGTTATTAAATAGAAAAAGAGTAATGTACTGTCAAATAATTAAATGGTGTTTAATTATGTCTTCCAACAAACTGTATTTTCATGAATGTAGTGTTAATCCATTAAAAATTAAAAGGACCAGCCACCTGTATGTGGAAGGGGTCATGTTGCCCCGTCATGTTGAATACGGAGGCCAAAACATCGCTGTCCCAGCTAATTGTGTTTTATGTATATGGCTAGAGGCTGGTCATATAAATAGTATGCCCTATTAGTTGCTTTTTAAAATCACAAATTGTTATAAAAATTTTCATTTTACGCAACTGTACAGTAAAAACTTAGCAGCTGAAAATTATTTTTTTTAGAACAATATACTAAAATACACTCAGTAAACTGACCAGTCTGTTTTCAGTACTTCTTTACACTTCCAAAATACGTCATGAACAAGTAGTGTACATCTGACAGCCGCCACAAATTCATTAGATGTAGTGTGCCCAAAGAAAAAAGTAAATATTTGAGTGGAAAGAGATTAGTGCATGACAATATAAAGTTATTTTATATTTTACATATTTTATTATGTAATTAATAAATTCATGGGGTTTTTTTTGTTTGTTTTTTCAGTCAATGAGCTATAGTTCCCCACACAGAACTCCTTTTACAAGGAGTGGGAAGTTGTGAATGAGTGATTGCTGTTTCTGATGAAAGTTTCATCTGAAATCAAACTAATAAGTTAGCCCTAATTTAGATTACATCTGTGGCCTAGTCAAGTCTAACAGTCTCTAATCACTCAACAAAGAAAAACATCAGTCTGGCTGATCCAATCTTGTGCTAACACTGATAAGGGGCCTCTTTTGCCTTTTGACAAAGACCATGGCTACACTAAAAATAGCATGGCAGCATCCTTGCAACTAGGAAAAATCAGTGGTTGCCTTGGAATTGTACCGCTTTTATGATTTATTTATTTATTGACAAATGACTGCAAGTAGTTGCGTTGCACCCTTTTGACTGCAAGGCGATCACATAGGTCACGTAGTAGGATGCAAACTGTCTCCAAACAATCACAGCCTGAAAAGGTTTGCAAATAAATCCAATAATATTCATGAATGCAGTCACATTGCCAACATGTTGCCATTAATTCAATTCAGTATGTACAGAAGGCCACAACTCAGAGGGGAAAAAACAACTCACTGCCCACTAGTTGGATTTTGTTTATATTTCTAAGGTTACCAAGCACCATTTTGCACTTTAAACACCATCATGCAGCAACTACGTCACAGTATAATATGATGTGTGGAGGGATTTTTGTTCCAAATCTATGAGGTTTTGGCTGGATTGTACGTTAGTTCATGTGAATTCCTGTTTAATTAAATTTTCTTTGTTTCTTCATGCTACCAATCTCTCATATTACCACATCCTCAAATATGTTCTATTGGATCAAGAGTTAGTGACAGGGAGGCCAGTGGCATTTAACAACCTCAATGTCCAATTTATCAAATCAGTTTGAGACAAAATTTGCTTTGATATGGTGCATTAGCATGCTGCAAATAGGCAAGGCAAGTTTATTTGTATAGCACAATTCAACAACAAGGTGATTCAAAGTGCTTTACAGAGACATTAGAAACAAAAACAAATAAAAAGCATGATTTAAAATCTGCCACCCCAGTTTTGCATGTGACAGTGTTGTTTATTAAAATAAGATAGCATTAACAGTTTGAGTGTAGTTACAGTCAACAGTGAATATAAATGCTAAAACTGAATATATTGCATAGTGTCCCCCCCTCCACCAGTAACAAATGGTTTAGCCCATAGCAGGACCAGCTTTTTTATTGTTTTCAGTATCAAGCGATGCTTGTGATTGTGCCAGAGCACATTTTGAACAACACCATGGGAATTTCGGATTTTACACAGGTGGGTGGATGTTACACTCTGGAAATGGAAGGAAGGTGAGTGTTATTAACCCTCTGTGGTCCACGGACACGCTGCACCTCCAAATCACATGACTATTTTAAGCTGACATAACAACAAGCTGCAGCCACGCTTAGTCTCTATTTCAGCCCACATTGAAAGTTCGGACTTCAATGTTTTTAAATTTTAATTACAGGCCAGTAAATCCAGAGTTATGATAATATATATAAGCCATACATTTTTTCTAAATAGTGTCGTCACGTTTTTGTGTGTGTGTGTTTTAAGCATTTTCTAAGGACAGCGCGAAAACAGTAAAGAAAGGAAAAAAGCCACGTCTTTCCTATCGGTGGAAAAATGTACCATGTCGACCAATTTTTAAAAAAGTCAACATGTGGGATTTGGTTGTTTAGGAAGAGGGAAAAGTTTGGGGAGTGACGGTAATGGCAGCGAGACAGAGCGAGAGAGCGAGGTGAGAGAGAGTTTTTAGATGTGGGAGATTTGTGACGTTTGTGGAGTGTATACTTAGTGTGTTGTGTTGTCTTGTGTAGTTGTTCTGTTGTGTAGTCGTTTTGTTTTGTGTGTCAGTGAGGGCACTAATGAATGTCACAAAGGCACATTTGCAATGTAAACACTGTCACTAAGTAGAAAACCAGCGGAGTGATACACCTCCTGTTGTCAGGCCTGCAGGTTTATCCCTGTGCTCTTCTCTGTCTTTTGGTGGACAAACTTTTTTTTTTACTGGCACACATCATTTGTGGGGCATCTTATTGCAACACCTGATTGTTCTCTCATTTTAGTTTTAGTAATATTTTTAAATGGTTGTAGAAAATGAAAAAAAAACGGCAGGTGTATTGGCTGCATTTTTAGATAAATAGTTGTATTTTTTACAAAATGTAAAATTTATATTTGCATTTCAAGTTATAAAAATTTACTCAACATGTCTGTGGTTTTTTTACAGTAAAAAATACTACTAGGATTTTAAGTTCTTTGTGTGATTTCAGATCAGTAATACTAATGCAGTATGTCAGTGAAAAAAACAACTAAATTCAGTTGAGCTGAAAAGATACCAAACAAGGCAAGGGGAAAAAATAAAATGAAACAATCTGAGGGTGAAATACAAACGTAAACTCAAAAGGAGTCAAAAATGGCCGGTTGTATTTCAGACCTCAGTGGGTTAATCCAACAAATCATGAAAAATTAGGTTTAAATTTTTGTTCATGACAGTGCAGATTTCTGACATTTTGTGTAATTTAAGCTGTAACAATGTGATTGTTTTCTAACAAAAAACAGTGTGAAACTTAAGTTAGACTTGTGTTTGTAAATGAACCGCCCCATGTTGTGTAGCTTTCTGGATTTTATACTTATTGGGCTACATATTTATTTATTATACAGGCTATACACTCAAAAAAATGAATGAGGTGGATTGTTCAGTGTATATTAATTATTTATTTTCATTTTACTTAAAATATATGTTTTTGTTAAGTTAACATATGTTTTTCTAATCAAGTCTACGTAATTGTGTCTATTATTCAACGTACATAATACTAATGTGTTACTTGATCGCATAACATTTAAGTTAAGTCAATTAGGATCGATATACCTTGTATATCCACAAGGTGGCAGTAATGCAAAAACAGTTGTAATGAAACCGCGCAGAACAAGAAGGTTTCACGGCTTGTGCCTGCTCATGCGCAAGACTTCAAATTTAACTGAAAAAGGCTGTTTTGGCGCCAAGCTGCTGTTTCTTTGAGAGGTAAGACCACTTTTTTCTTTGACTATGTTGTGTAGTATCTATATGTCCAGCATGGTTATATTTTGCGTTTGTCTTACAAGACATGTTATATCGTTTGCGTGCGCTTGTTTTACATTAGTTTTACTGGGTCCTGGACATGCTTATTTTGTGGACTGTGTAAGAAACATTTTTATTGTTTTTTGTTTTATTAAGGGATTAGCTACAGGGGTTCATGGGGTTATTCTTTCAAGGGGTTATTTTTCCATTTGCTTTCTTGGGATTCCTTTTCTGTAATCCGAGAGTCGGAAATATCGAATAGGATAGCAAGGATAGCATAAAGTGACATTTAAAATCCAAAAAGTCAAGGGCGAAAGCCACTGTGACACCATTGTTCTGCTCTATCAGTAATCTGTATTATGTAAAAATGGTCTGTAAATACAGCATGTTTCCTAGCGGAGTTATACATATCAATGTAGTTATAAATTACAGTTTGTGAAAGTACACACTTAATTTTTTTAATAAAATTATTCAAGACATATGAGTGGACAGACAATGGAGGTCGACAGACCTGGTGATAATTGCTTCTATAGAAAGTTAGCACATGGCAGTGTCAATCTCTTGCTTTTCTTCTGAGTAGTATTTTATTTAGTTGTAATTCAAACAATAATTTGCTTCTTGAAATTAAGGAATTAATTTCTTTATAAATCTCAGATCCTGCCTTTACCTGCTCCCTCCTATACTGATGTGGTGTATGTGGTACTGCTGAGCTTGTATGTGGTATGTGAACTGTTATACTTTTAAAAACAAAACTGTTTTATAAGTTAAGTTTTCTTTTGTGACCCATCCCATGCCCCTGTTATTTCTTCTCCACATCTGAACCATGGTAAAGGTTGCAGTTCAAGGGCCTGAGGCATGAAATTCTTTTCAGATCAGCTGTGATCAATATTTTTTGGAACTTGATAAATAACAATAAAAGCTGTAATGGCTCCATTAGCATTTTGTGTAAATGTTTGTGTTAAAATTATAGCTTTAATGAGGTCTTACTACATTAGTTTTAGTTTGTATATGTGTACATATAGTATGTATATTTACAGTACAGTATGTTGTGTTTGTTGACATATTTTCAGGTGGAAGCAGAATATGTGAGGATTACTACTGCTGCACATGTTCCAAGGCTTTTTACACAACTTGACCAATACACTGACCAGCTCATAAAAGTCTTCAAGAAAAAAGGAGGCGTTGCAGGGAAGAAAATTAGACAAACTTTGGCCCCAGCCACACAGGTGCGTTATTCTGTTGGTAGCAAAATATTATGGCTAATAAGATCATTTTCAAATTTAAACAGCTAGTGTATGGTAGCTGCACAGTGCACTTACATTTATATTAAGCAAGACAAAGTTTGGTACTCAAAACGTTGGAAAATTTAAATTACCTAAACATATGTAAAATCTGATCCCTTGATTTAGGTTAAACCAGAAGTGAATGTTTTTATGTTATGTTTTGAATGCAAAAAAGATGATGTATTAGTTTGTCTTTACCTCCATTATGGACATATATAATGTGGTGGAAACCCTGCCCAACAGGTTAACTATTCATGTCCATGTGATGATTAGTTGGTCTTGTGTACATGTCTATCTGTGCAGTGGATATGTCATTCATTTTGCGTATAATGTGAGTTTCTGTCATCCTAAAGTATATCTGTTTTCTCTTCCTGTATCTCTGCCACTCTCTACAGAAGGAAACTATTGAAAAGGGGAGGGAGTGTGTCCTCAGGGCACTACCTTTTTACCTGAATGAAGACCCAAGCATCCTCTTCAAAGAATAATTGGTTGGTAATTTTAGTTTAGTTTTTTATCTGTATTAAACCAAATTTTGAATAACTAATGTTGTTGCATGTTGTAATGTTGTTGTTGTTGTAATTTGCATGGAACCTGTTTAAATGTTTTGGGAAATCTTCTTGTATACCCAAACTATTTATATTTATCGTTGAATCTGTAGTCTGAAATAGTGGCGCACTGGGGTGCATGTTCCTAATATTGTGTTTACGTCATTAAAGGGTAGCTTTGGCCCTTTTTCTTTCTTTTTTTAAAACTGGATGCCATTTTTCTATGTTTTTGTGTCTAAGCTACAGCTGTTCAGAGGGAGCTGGAACAAATTACCCTTGCTATCTTTACCATCGAAAGAGCTGATGCCAGCACTCCTCCAGCCGATGTGGGTATAACCATCTAGTGTGTCCTGCATGACCTGGAAGACCTGGCCTCTGCATGTGCACTCTTAATGGGTGGGATATATGCACTGAATCTCAGTTAACCTCAAGACTGAAAGCTAAGAGACAATCAAAAGTATTGAGATTTAAAGGATTTAATTGAGAGATGATACTGCACCAGAAATGTTGAAGGGTGGTGTGTATATTAGCGTTCAAGGCATATTGTTATGAGGTGGAAATATGTTCATATTCAGTTTGTGTTACATTGTGTGCATTGTAAAGGTAATTGCAATACATACTAAAAATAAGGGTAAGTTAGGAGGTTGATCTGATATCCTCGTGTTGGTGTTGTTCGCAGATCATCATACTAAATGTTGTTCCAGGATCAACATTGCAAGTGACCAATCAGAATGTGGTGACGTCATACTTTTGCGACTTCGGGAAAAACCGGCGTAAAACAAAAAACTGTACTTAAGCTGCGTGAAACCGCCTCTGTCCGCCGATCAACTGACCCTAACCCTAACCGTAACCCTTTAATAAACAGTAAGCAGAATTGATATTGTCCTTGCAACATTGGAATTTCATAAATGCACGAATGGCTTGGAATAGAATAACGTCACAACAATGTGATTGGTCACTTGCAATGTTGAACCTGGAACAACATTTTCATGATGGTCTGGGAACAACACCAACACGAGGATATCAGATCATCCAAGTTGGGAATGCAGGATGAATGTATATTTTGTGGACTTTTAAAGACGAACAATTGTTTCCATGTTAAAATGTTTACATCTGAAGTTTTTTGCCCAAACACTGGTAAAATAAATGTTGACAGTGGCAAGTGTTAAATGGTTACTGCTGTGCTGTTGCAAAAAAACTGAACGCTGACAAGCTGTTTTATTGTTAGACCATAATGTTGGCATGTTTTGTTAAAGTTTTATTTGGGATGGTGATGTAATTTTCTTTGATTGCTAATATCAGTGGACTATTTATTATTATTATTATTATTATTATTTTATTATTTTTGTTGTTGTTGTTACATTTTTTTTTAATTGTGGCTGTTGAGGTGGACACTTCACTTTGCATTGTTAAAGGAAAGCACTTCATTGGCATTGTGTTACTGGACTGACCCTAAGCAATCATTGCAAATAGCAACTTTGCTATCCATTTTAGACACTAAAAGAAAAAAACACTCACAGACCTTACTAGCATCACATGTGCATAACTCAAGTGTCATCTTATCAATGTGTTATGTGATCTTCAATGCGTTTTTTTTTCTTCTATTTCTGGTAGATACAGACATTTAATTTAAAGTCTTGATGTTGCATCTGTCTACATACTGTTAATTACTAACCCTAATGAGCTGTTGTGTTTTATTTTGGACCGGTTTTACACAAATGCTCACTGAATGTGTTGGCAATAAAATAAATTTTAAAAAATAAGTTGGATGTACTTAATTCATTTGTGTGGAACCTGTTGACAAAATAGATTTATGTAAAACTAATTAATAAAGCACAAGGTGGCTGAAAATATAATATTTGAATTAATCTAACTTAAATTTAACATTTTACTGCCACAAATAAGAAATGTGTTGAAGTAACTAATCTAAACTATCTAACCTGAAAATATATCATCTATGTTCATACAACATAACTTGATTTAGTTAGTCTTAAATATGTCTTGTTAATCTTAAGTAGTTTTTTTAAATTAGATGAACTAAAGATTTTTGCTTTAAACTAACATAATTCAATTTCGTGGAACCTGTTGACAAAATAATTTTAATTAAAGTCAACGTTTCATTTTTTTGAGTGTACAGTACATAACATCAAAATTCACATGTTTTATGTAACTAAAGTGTGTAATCATGTGGGCTACAGACAACAATTAAGTTATAGACTATATATATGAAAAATGTGTATACTTACTGCATTTGAATCATTTAACCATATGTACCCACCTGCATATGTGTTTGGGGAAAAAAGGCTTTGATTTTGCCACCCCATTTGATTTCTTTGCCATCCTCATGTCACCCTAAGAAAATTTCTCTAGATCCGCCCCTGCTACAGAGCAGTGCACCGTATCATGGCCAGAGGGCTGGCTAGCTGTGGCACATGGACTGGTAGAATTTGACTGCTTGGTCCTGGGGTCCTTTGCCAGATATAAAGGTACTGGATTTTTTTGGACTATAAAGCACATTTACAATCCTTTAATTTTCTCAAAAATCAAGATATACAAATATAATCCGGTGCGCCTTATGCATGAATTCTGGTTTTCGTTTACTGACCTCGAATCGATTTTATGTGGTACATGGCGCTCAAAAAAAAATGAAACACAACGAGCCAGAAACCAAAACACAGGGAACAAAGTCCAAAACAACAGCACTGAGGCCCAGGAACAGTCCAAAAGCAAACAAACAAAAGAGCCCATGAAAGGCGCAGAGGCCCAAGCAACAGTCTCGAAAAAGTTCAGGGGGCCGGCCCGGAGGCTGACGGCCCAACAGCCCAGAGAACAGTTCAGGAGGCCGGGCACGGCGGGAGGCACCGGACGGCGACGGAGCAGATCAGGAGGCCGGTCGGCGGGAGGCACCGGCGGCGACGTAGTTCAGGGGGCCGTCCATGAGGCAATGACGTCCAGTCATCGGCCGAACAGGACGTGCAGAACGAGCAGGCCGGACGGGACGTGCAGGACGAGCAGGCTGGACGGGACGAGCAGGACGAGCAGGACAAGCAGGCCGGACAGGACGAGCAGGCTGGACAGGACGAGCAGGCCGGACAGGACCAGACGGCATGGGGACCTCAGGCACAGACGAAGCTGAACACTCGGAGGCTGGACCGGGCGGAGCTGCAGAGGCTGAGGCTGGACCGGGCGGGCAGAGGCTGAGGCTGGACCGGGCGGAGCTGCAGAGGCTGAGGCTGGACCGGGCGGAGCTGAGGCTGGACCGGGAGGAGCTGCAGAGGCTGGACCGGGCGGAGCTGAGGCTGGACCGGGCGGAGCTGCAGAGGCTGGACCAGGCGGAGCTGCAGAGGCTGGACCAGGCGGAGCTGCAGAGGCTGCAGGCGGTGGATGTTGAAGTTGCAGGCAGTGGAGCCGGTGGTGGCTGAATGGCCTCGCCAGAACCATCAGCAGACACTGGGATGTGCTGGCTGCGTCCACCAGAACCGTCAGCAGACACTGGGATGTGCTGGCTGGGTCCTCCCGGACCCCCAGCTGACGAGGCAAGAGGCTGAACGGGCCCCTCGGACCCTCCAGCGAAGACAGGAGGCTGAACGGGCCCCTCGGACCCTCCAGCGGAGACAGGAGGCTGAACGGGCCCCTCGGACCCTCCAGCGGAGACAGGAGGCTGAACGGGCCCCTCGGACCCTCCAGCAAAGACAGGAGGCTGAACGGGCCCCTCGGACCCTCCAGTGAAGACAGGAGACGGCTGGAGCGGTTCCTCGGACCCTCCAGCGGAGGCAGGAGGCTGGACGGGCCCCTCGGACCCTCCAGCGGAGGCAAGTTGCTGG